TTTTTTTTTTATAAGTTACAAAGTTAAAATATTACGTAACTAACGTCAAACACAAAGTTGTACTATGCAAATAAATGGTAACATTCCAAGATAAATGTTTTACGTGTGACGAGAGGTGAAATATTACGATGAAAAATTTCATCACAATTAAACTGATTTCTACAACAACAACATTTACAAAAAAAATACCGTAATGTTATGAGAACCAAATAGCCGATTTGAAATAGTCTCTGAAGGATTTGCAACATGATGTGATTAAATACATTTGACGAGAAATGACAGCGCAAAATTTCCCGGGTTGCGGCCCGGAATTGGGACGCGGCCATTTTGTTTGGCTAGACGCCCACTCCTGTTTGTCAACTATCAGTACCAGTTCTATCTTCCATGAACATTTTGGGATGAAACCAATGACTTCACACCACTCTCAGCAGTCCAACCTTGCTTTTTTGTTGTAGTTGTTGTTGTTGTTGTTGTTTTCACCAGAGGGGAGTTGTTTAGCTCAAGGAGATACCTAACTGTATATCAGCAAGAAATAACTCTTTTCCAACGCGTAGACATTTGCACTCCGCAATAAAGAGCGTTTGCTTCCCGGGCACGCCGTTTTCCTCCTCTGTGGCCCTCATCGGGTCTGCATGCTTTTTCTTTTTCTCTTCTCTTTTTGTCACTACTTCCCCGAACGCAAGCACAGAAGTGGCCAGCTGCTGCCGGCTGCACCCGGAAGGACGCATTGCATGGCTTTGGATGATTTCTCACATAAGTACTGCACACACACGACACCACAAACGCACCCCGCTTGTCATTCCAAGATAGACTAATCGTGTGCCTGCCTAATGACACTAAAATCCCGCCGAGTTATCAATCAAGAGCGATGATTTGTTGGCTGCGTACAAACTGTTGCGTCTTCACCGCTTGGCTCTTGCCTCTGCCTGCATATGAATTTTGACATTTAATTGTATAAATCTACAAAATGAACTGTCGTGTCTTGTCGCATAATCTGACAAAACTGTTGCGAGATTGCTTTATTCTTGTTGCAATAATAACTGATCGTAATTCCACTTAGGTAGCGCATAGATAACTTCTGTTAAAGTATAAAGAACGAGTCCAATATGACGTCGTTTATTCCAGGACTGTTTATAATCATAAATCCGAAAATAATGGCAAGAAATCGAACTAGCTTTTTATTAATGCTTGTTATTCCCAGTTGGTAGTCAATATTAAACAAAAATGACAATGGGTATGACCCGTGCTGCCACAATAATATTAGCAATTTTGTTTGTCCAGATTATTATTAGCTAAAAAAATACCACAATTTATTGAATTAATTATAAATTATTCCCAGCACATATAAAAATGCTAAATGTATTGTAATAATTATTTATTAAAGCCTGTATATATAAAATAAATGTCATCATTGTTTTCAACAAAAATTTTACTACATTTTTAATCAGAGATGCAAGTAAACTTGTATAGATGATTTTATTTTTGTGCCTGTTCAGAATCCGCCCTTGTTTTACAAAAAGACTATATATAGACTAAGACGATATGTAAATAGTTAAGTGAAAATACCTCAAAACTTTAATGTGCTAGGGAAAAAAGTTGACATTTTTAAATCTGCATCAAAAATATGTTTCGGCACACAACGCCATCTTCGAGTAAAATTTGCTATTGACCCAGTATAATTATAAATTAATTTATTCAGAATCGTGTAAGTATCAAAATGAGTAAATTGCGAGAAATAAGATCTTGAAAAGTGAACTTGACTCTTATGATTTAGGAATATGTATACAAATGGAATCCTCATATTAGAAATAAGTACATGACATTCGCCCTATGGAGTCACATCTTACAACAAAACATAATTTTGTTGTATTCGTAAAATTGAGCCGCCTGTTCTGACCACCTGCAGGCGTTTGATTGGCGGGAGGAACGTCCCGGGGCCGAAGGTCAAAGCGACGAAGGTCACAAGGAGGGAGGAGACGAGTGGCTGACGGCCAAGGCCACGTTGGTCCGAGAAGCAGATGTGGAGCCTCTGGACTACGATCTCGACATCAGCAGAGAGGTCGGTTATGCTCGACGACGTTGACGACCACGACGACGTGGACAGACGTCCATTTTGTGTCTTGTAGCTCTCCAAGCCCAAGAAGGTGTCCATCCCTGAGCGTTACGTCGAGTCGGATCCCGAGGAGCCGCTTAGCCCGGAGGAAGAGGAGGAGCGACGTCTTCGTACGGAACGCATCAGGAAAATCCTCACCAAGTCCAAGTAAGCGAGCGCACTTCGGGGACATCCCCATCCACGTGCGGTTTAATCCACTAACTTCACACGTTTGATATTAATATTGCATATTTTTCATCAGACTTGTTCTGTGGTGCCTTGACTTACAGTGCCCCCACTTATAGTTCATCGAACATTTTGATACGTGACCTAATGTCCTTTTAAATGATCCTTTAACTTCACTATCCCCCAACAAAATACATAATTCTAATTTAAGTGGATATAGTATACTGTTTAATATAAAAAAGGGGAGTAGCATAATTTAATATTGCAGTGTATGTATACTGTTTAAGAATCGAGCTTGCTCGTCTGTGTCCTCAGCGTTCAGAATTTGCAGTCGGCGTCGCTGGACCTCAGCGAGCTGGAATCGGTTCTCCAAGAGCAGGAGAAGATCATGAAGGCATCGCGAGCGCTCGCCTCACAGGCATCCAAGAAGAGCAAACTGGTGGCAGGTTTGGAACCACTGTTGCATTTGAGTTCATGTCCGGTGACTCATAATATGAAAAACACTTTTCGAGGAATACGCTTTTGATAAACGTTAAAGCCTCATCAGGGATTCAGTTTCACTTTTTACAAATAATATTCTGTCTATGCCAGTGACAAGCCGTAAAACAACCGAATGTTGTACCTCGAGATGGCAGAAGGTACACAAGTTGCTTTCAAAACAACTCTGCCTTTAATGATATTCGAAATTTTTTCATGACAAATTTAACTAGATTTACTATTGTGCACCGAGGTACACTGAGAGTTGTTCCTAATATTTTGGCCATTGAATTGGTTCACATGGACACTTGCGTCTTGTAAAAATGACGTGAACTGGGACATTTGACGCATTATGTATAAAGAGTTAATCTTCCAATGGAGTAAAACATTTGTTCAAAAAAAAAAGTTATTGCAAAAATGAATAATCATTACCAGATAAAGTAACAGACCATCAAATTGTATGGATAATAAATAGCAATTTGAGTAATTATTATAAATGTAATATTTAGATTAAAAAAAATCACTGCACAAGACATTTGTTCCAATATATTTTAAATTAAAAAAATACTTAATACATATTTTCAAGTACAGTCACTGGTCCAACATGGTATGTCAGCTTCAAACTAGAATCTTTTCTGTCTGTAGATCAGTTCCATGACTGAAAAATATTTTTTTCTTCCCTTTAGCCAAAGCTGCTGCTGCGAGCCCATGACCACCACCACTGACTCTGACCGGAGTCCCAGTAAAGGACCGCTGGGGCAATTTTCAAACTAAAATGCAACAAACACTTAATCAGCATGAAGAACAAGTTTTATTATTTTGATGAAATAGTTTGACCGGCTTCTAGCATCACCTAGTGGTCACATAATGTATTTGCTACTAACAAGGACAACCAATTGTCCACTTTACAAAATAAATGAACAAATAAGGGGAAACCCGTTGCTTCTGATGTCTCCTTTTTAACAAAACCACTAAGTGATTTTGGGACACGCTACAAAAAAAATGTACAGTACACTGTAAATGATGGAGGGAAAAAATCCTTCAACGGCTCCTATTATGATGACTTAACAAAGGACATTTTGTAAACACTTTTCCTTTCGGCAGCCCCGCTTTTTTCCGGGCTTTTGTCCTTTTCTGTCACGGTCTCTGTCGGCTTTGTGTCGCACGCTTTGTCCTTGGGGTCTTTGGACTCGCTGGGGGGCATCTCGGACACGGGCGGGACGTCGGTCGACTCTGGCTGCGAGGGTCACAAAAGATGTCATTTTCAAAAGTATTCCTCAGCACCGGTTGTCTCCGTGAGAAATCAGGCGTTGCGCTCACTTCACTGAAGCCGAGTCCGCAATGTCGCCGGTTGCGTCCCGACAGCTTCTCGTCCATGCCTCGCTGGTACTGCATCTCAAGGCGCTCACTGATTTGCTCGTCCTCCGTCCCTGCGGAGCATACAGTGGTCACGGCACGCGCGCGCATGCCTCACATCCGCACACGGAGAGAGCTGCGCGGCGGGCGGGCGGTTTGGAAAAAAAAAAAACAAAAATACGTATTAGTTGCGCCGGATGCTGAGGTGGTCAGCAATTTTGTGCGACTTCATCTTCTTCAGCATCTAATGCAGCTTTTCTCTACTTGTGGTAGGTGGGCTCCCTCTTGTGGTATGTGAACAATCAAATTACTCGGGGAAAATAAAATGTTTCCATATTTTCTGACATGTTAATTGTAATTTGTGCATAATCTGCAATGTATGTGAAGCAATGTCCTGTTTTTGAATAATGAAGAAATAGAAATTCAACAAATCGAATTAATGAAATAAAAAAATCATGATGGGAATTAGTTGATCACACATGGATGATCAGTGTCGGCATCTTAAAACTGTGTTCGGAACATCTGTAATCTTAAAAAACGTTTGGGGTTTTTTAACTTATTTTCATGATTTGGTTTTCAAGCTAAATACTTTCCTCGTATGATGACGTTATTTGGTTTATTTTAAATATTCGGACGCTTTATACTTGGATTTTAAGTTAAATGCCTCCTTCAAATCATAAATAAGTCAAAAAAGAATCACAAATAATTTTTCAAAATCGTCTTTTTTTTTTTAAGTGTCTCACCACTGCGGAGGTGTGCCGTCGACTTGTGTTCGCCAATGACAAGACGTCCAGTGTGTTCTTTCTACAGAAGGAGAAACATGATAAAATGTCACAGGAAAGTTTTTCAGGTAATAATTGTCAGCTTTAAATGATACTTAAATTACTTCATGAGGACCTTAACTCCTATTAAATTCGATCTACATTAAAAGTTTATTATTTTGAAATGTCCCCGAATCTTGCAACTTTATCCGGGACCCATTTCCTCGAAATAGTGGGAAGAAAATTATAACATGTCAATTTGCGAGGGGGGCCACCTTGGAGGCGCCCATCAACCGGAGAAACTTCTGCTTCCTCTCGTCACTTCCCAGGTCAGCGGAGGCCCACTGGGTCGACTCATCCTGCAGATGGAAACAAACACAGACGTCATTTTCATTTTGCAAAATAGTTTGACAGAATCCCATGTTATTACTGCCTTAAATGCCAGCTGTTTTACAAGCATGGTGCATTCGTTCCGTTCGAGTGAACTCTTGGACATTAGCTGACATGCTAACGGGAAGCTAACCCTCTTCTCGTACATTCCGCGGCTTCTTTCAGCCGATTTACACCAAAATCCAAACATTTGACTCACCTCGCTCGAGGACGCCGGTCGTTTAGTGCCGTGTTTATTACCCGGAGAACTCATAGTTTTGATTCACAGGGTAGGAAGGCTACATAAACAACGAAAAAAATCGCGCCATTAGCAATAGGGATGACTGGCAGTAAATGTGTCGTCACTTCCGGTGGAGTCTTGGTCTACGAGAATTGCTACGCAGGAATGTAAACGTCAGCTCTCTGCTGCCTCGTGTTGTCAAGTTCTGTCACTAAAACCTGGAACGGGCGTTCGACAAATACTGCTTATGTGTGCCTGTATAGAAACAATCATGCCCAAAAAAGGTATGTACAATGACAACGTGTTACTGTATACACGTAATTCTGGAGAAATCCGAAATGTTCAGCAAAAATGCGTCAATTTATGTCACTTATGTTGCAACAATTTATCACCTCGTACAGCTAATTGTTTCGAAACAACTGTTCAAATCTATTTCCAGCAAAAATGTACTATTTTATACAGTATTTTGTTTCGCTGGTCCCCCAAGAAAGAAGTGACAGTCAGTATGTCACTCCATAACATTTTCAGTTACTTCAATAAAAAAAAAAAGATTTGCCAGGAAAACAATTACAGTAAAATGAATACCAAAGTGTTGCACACTTCGTTTTCTTTTATAATTAAAAATCAACAAAAAGTATTTCTCGTGACTAATTTCTGTAACTCATGCCGGAAAACAAAAAGTAAATACAAATTTAAAGTGAAAAGTTAGATTCTTATACACTGTTTTTATTATTGTTATTATTATTATTATTATTAAACTTTAGTCAATATTTTCCAGAGCTAGATACGGCACATACTGTATGGATGTCATGCCAGCAAAGTACCAATAGATGTCGCTAGAGTAAGCGTAATAACGTAAAAGAGACGCACAGAGAACTCGACATATCTCCGTTTCCAAATTCAAGTTTGTTCTTATTTTTAACTGACATTATCTTCTAGTATGACATATGTATGTCAAGGTATTACTTTGTTTTTTTTTTAACCCATCTGTTTTCTTGTCTTCCTTTGCTGGTTTCTCCTGAAGTTAGGATTAAAATTTGGTTAAAGTGTAACAAAAGCTTTTCTACTTCGTTTAATTAGGATTATTTGAACCCATGTACATTTTTCAAAGTTATCGCCAATAAAAGACTTTAAGACATTGACAATACAAAATACATATATTCCTAATTTGTTACTTTTTCACGTTAAAATATATGATAGGATATGTTGGAATATATTAATACAGTCCATCATATTTCATTGCGATAATTTCATTTCATGCCATTTTATTTTATTGTTAAAAGGCTTCTCATTGAGCGAAAACATTACTTTTACATGATAAAACATTTTAATAACATTACTATGTTTATATACTATACAATCTGCTGACCATACAGTTATCTAATAGTGTTAACAGTTTGTGGAAGTGGGAATAATCTCATAATCTCTTCCCGGATTATAATAATAATAATAATAATAATACAGTGATACATCATTGAAATATTTTTGTGTGACTAATGGGTATTATGATTTATTTAAGATGCTGCTGAGAATGTAAAATGTTTGGATAATTATTTTCTTGTCGTGACATACTGGCATCAATATTAATATCTTACCTGAAAATAAATATTTGTGGAGACTGAGAGACAAAGTGTAAATACTTTTTGCAACCAATTTTCACAGTAAATCCAACATTTTGCAGTATTATTACAATTTATAATTCAACAAAAAAAAATCCAACAAGAATCACGGACCACTCGAAACTCGACCCTTAACCATGCTACATTTGACCCACCCCCACCGCCCCTGCAAAGGTATTTAAGAAGTGAGACTTTATTACTATTTACTTTATTTCCATTTATTTATTTTTAGGAAGTGAAGGCAAAGAACAGTGGCGGACGAATGCAAGACTCTCCAAAGTTCTTGAATGGGGCCCCCCCAAGAAGAGTAAGTGAGAGAGAGAGAGAGAGAGAGAGAGAGAGAGAGAGAGAGAGAGAGAGAGAGACGGAAGGAGGGAGGAAGGGAGGAGGGGTTAGCTTTCCTCTCGGTGTCTCTCTATCAGTCACTGGGTCACACACTCTCACTTCACGTCCACATCTCGCCGGACGGGGAAGGAAGGACTAACTTTTTCTTTTCTTTTTTTTTCCCCGCCCCAAAACAACAAGAACTGCCCGACAGAGTCGGGACCCAACTTCCCACTTTCCCCAACTTCCCCCACTCACTCACTTACTCTCTCTCTCTCTCCCTCTCTCTCTCTCTC